CTTGGCGACACTGACTGCCCTTGATGGATGATGATGATTAGATACTTAAACTCGAATGATTGTATGGCTGGCGGAGTTACGAAATGTTGGTTGGAGCCGTTGGAGCGAAAGGCGAATGGATGAAAAGAAGGTGAGACGCAAAAAAATGTATTTCTATACATATATATGTACGGCATGGCCGACTTGCCGTGATTCTTCTGGGGTCATGGTGGGTTCGATGACTTCAGTCGTGCATGGACAGCACTGTGCCGGGGATTTGAATAAGGATACCAGGAGAATTGTCCGAAATTTAGATCATACAGTGAAATTTATTCTCTTTTCGTTTAACCTTTAAATTGATTTAACCTTATTACAAACGGCATGTGCAATGCAATGCAGTAGACGCTCGGTGGTCATTCAATTTTATCGATTCATTGGTCTATTTATTGTTTTGGCTTCCGAATGGCAGCTTACTTTCGTTTAAATTAAAGTTTTCAATTTTTTGTATCAGAATAAGACAATACACGGAAAGAAATATTCAAGAAAAGTTACGGAATATTTCACGTAATCTGCGTAATGCTTTGCATTCATCATATCAATTCTACGATCTGTTCCGGAAAAATTAATCATCCGCCCGACACCTCACGGCTAGCCATCAGTGACCATGAGGAGGGGATTTTTACGGAACGTTTCGTAATTTATCCGAAATGTTCCTTAAAAATTCTTGAACATTCCCGAATTTTTATGTTCTGGGGCATAATAAGTCGTGAAGTTTCGTTCGATTTCAAAACTTCCTGAAAAATGACGTGACTGTTTCGTATTTTTTCGGGGACAGAACCGGAAAATTTACTGAAACCTCCAGATTTACTACCCGAAAGCTGTTCTCGCTTGCGGATTACGTGAAATGTTCCGTCAGTTTTCTTGAATATTTCTCTTAGATACTGTCTGTATGTATGAATGCATGTATATAGTCTTTACAATTTTTTGTAGTTTATTTCATCTGCGTTTAATAAAAATTTCTGAAGTTTTTTGTGTATCCGCTAAATCTCTCTGCCGTGAAGAATATTTATTACGCATAAGTAAATTTGTAGGTTTTCGTTAAGTAAGATAAATCGTGGAATTGAACAAAGTGTTTGTTATAGGATTACTCGAAGCCAATCAAGCCATTGGTTACATTCATCGCTTTGTGATTCCACGAGGATCTGCTGGTGAAATACTTTCATCGAATCAATTGTTATTCTGCATAAGTGCATTTAATATGCTGTTAAAGGCAGGATTTCTGCCGTGCGATAATTTAATCTTTGGAGAAGAATTCCAATTAATATCTAATTTGGAAGATAATTCAAGAATATTGCACGTTCAATTGGATTCAATTTTTTCAGTGTAATACATTCCAATAGTATTTTCTATACACATCTAATTTTCTATACACATCTTCAAACTACATCGATTGATCTCCATGAATGAAGACTTACTTTGTACACTGTGCCAGATGATAATTCGAATTGTAAGAAATGTTGTAAAACATTATGATTTATTATTTGTCGGCGGTTTAGAAATGCTTATTTGTTGGCGAGAATAAAACTATTCGATATTAACCCACTTCCGCTTTAATGTTTCAATTTCAGCTAGACTCATGTACTTTTGCTCAATCACACAAAATTACATGGGTAATTGCAAAAGAATTACTTACTCAGCGGTTTTTCTTCGAGAGGACGTCACGAATGGATTGAAAAGTAAAACGGTGGAAAGGGGAAACGCACTTCTTCAGCATAAATTTGGTGAATCACTCAAACCAGGAAATGTTCCGGACTCATGACTGTGAAATAATTTTATATGAATCACTGTTATTATAATTGCATTGAATTTTAGTAATAAATTACATTAATTGAAGGTTTTGAGGTGATTGTTTTCCATCTACCTTTTCACCTTACAATAAGTGGATAATTGGATAGATTTCCGTAAGGACTCATTATTGTTGTTAATAAATTAACCATTTGATTTCGATACGGGTACTAATTTTCATAATTGCTCTTTTCATCATATTCATGTGGCATACGATATTTTTGAATAAGATTCAAATTTAATTTTAAAAACTGTCCGTACGAACGTTTTGTTCAACTCAAAATCAAAATCGAATACTTGAACTTTTTAGAACATTGGTGTTTGTCTTTCTTTCAATAGGACATTTCGGTTCCGCGACGGACAAAAAAGAAAATAAAAATTTTTCCAGTCGCCAGCAACAAATGAAATTAAATTTTTATGCATTTTATTTAAACATCTAAGGGACAGTTTTTGTTATGGCTTTTTTTTACCAACTACAATCACGAAGTAGGAGAGAACTGCAAACCAGCGGAATTTCACTGATGAAATAGCCGACGTCATGGTAGGTGTGAGAAACACGGACACACTATCTACAGAGAGGTTTGTTCAATGGTGTAGCAGCCTTTTGTCAACATTGCCTGTTGCTAAATAAATATGTAGACACATCCTGCGTTTCCCTATAGTAGTTACCTAGTGTTGTGTGCTTTGCCACTGGCAACGTTCATCGTACAAATTGAATTAAACTTCTCATCTGCACTATAAAAAACATTATTTGACAGATGGGTGACAGATTTTTCAGCTCATATGATTGGCATTTAAAACATGCAACCAGCCGTCTCATTTGCTTTGAAATATCAACAATTTCTTCCACGCTAACTTATGTTACATGAAACTTCAAGGTTACATATAAAAAGATTCGTTTATGAATTTTCTCCACATTCTTCTCAATAATATTTCGCAATAATTTAGACGGCAAGATCCGTCTGTGTATTATATAATCCACTGGCGGTCTTGGAATTGCAAGTAACCTTGGGAGTTGCGCCGTAAAACAGCGCATCCTTTGCCGCGATAATTCAAACACAAGTTTATTAAACATTTTCCACTCTATTCTTGCGCCTCTTACATACTTCTTCCATATTGTTCATTACAGTCCAGTAACAATTTCTTGATCTTGACGTCATCAAGATGGCTCACATGTCAGTGCGCAAAGTTTGTGAAACATCGCATTTGACAGACGGTTAGGCTGCGTGGGCGGAATCGCTTTTCATTGTTTCACCAATCATACAACTTCGATGATGATTTTCTTTTTCATTCTTTTGTCCCTATTGAGGCATAATGAAGTCGATGGGCGAGGTTGAAAAAAATACCGTGCATGCATGAGAGACTTCAGAATTATTATCGACTTACGGGAGGTTCAGGCGATTGTTTTCAACGATCAGTTCTAGATTAATGAGGAAAGAGCGTTCCATTGAAAAACACTTTCAGAATACAACAGTATTTAGTCATTTAGTGAGATAGCGCAAAGAACCAAGATCACCCACTGAACGTCGAAATGTCGAACGAAATGTTGAACGTCTTGAAGTTGCGTTCGATTTCAAAACTTCCTGAAAAATGCCGTGACGTTTTCGTATTTTTTCAGGGACAACACCCAAAAATATACTGAAAGCTCCAGATTTACTACCCAAAAACTATTCTTGCTTCCGGATTACGTGAAATTTTCCATAATTTTTCTTAAATATTTCTCTCCGGGTATAGGAGAATGATGAAGCTGATATAGGCTGTAAGTTTCATTTCGTTTATTGAATCATATTGGT